TATTATACAGAGGGTAGATAAAAGTATCTGCACACCTTTTATAAACTTAAATTAATGCTAGAAAAGTCATATGACTGTAATAACAAATTGTGATTATATGACATATTAGTGTTTATTTATATTATAAACATAAAAAACAACAATTTTAATTTTTTTTTAATAAATTTTCTTCTCTGAAACTCTAAATAAAAAAATGTTAAAAACTAAAAAATTAACTGCAGAACAACGTAGAACTATAATTTATTACTATCAATATGGTGATAGTTATCAGACTATTGCTAATATCGTTAACTGCGGAGTGTCAATTGTTCGTGATACTATTATTCAATATCGTAATCCCAGATCAATCAAATTAATATATCGTTCTGGACGTCTGCCTTTAATTCTAATCCCACAATGAAATCGCCTTAAACGAATCGTGACGAATGATAAACTAAAAATTGTTGTCTATGTGCAGCTGGAATATAACAACTTTGGAAGAAGAAGACTGAGCAAGATATTTCGACTAAAACGATTAGACAAACTCTTCATTCAGCTGAATTAAAAAATTGTGTTGCAAGAAAAAAACCATTAATTTCACTAGTAAATATTGAAGCACGTCTTAAATGGTGTTTAGAATATCAAAGCTAGACTAAAGCAGATTGGTCAAAAGTCTTATGAAGTGATGAATCCACATTCTTTCAATTTCAATAAAGCTGCTCTAGTAAGGTTTAGCGTAAACCGAAGGATAAATGGACTTTATCCTGTATTACAGCTATAGTAAAACATAGCCCTAGTCAAATGTACTAGGACTGCTTTTCAAGAAAAAGTATGAGGCCAATTGTTTTATTGTCTGAAATAGCAATTGGTAATTCACATGTCATCATTTTTCGTAAATATATTGTTCTGGCCATGAGAAAATCTTTTTCAAATTATAATGGCTGGTTTTAAGAAGATAACGTTCAGCCTCATAAATCAAAGATTGCAATGTCTTTTCAAGCGGAAAATAATCTTTGTATATTATCTTGGTTAGCATAAAGTCTCGATCTTAATCTGATTAAGAATCTTTGAGCTGAAGTCAAGAAAACCATTTGAGCTTATAAAAAACCTTTATCTAATCTTGCTATTCTTGACCGATATATTAAAAAGGCATGAAAAGAAATTCTGAAGTATACTATCGAAAATCTAGATAGTAGTATGCCACAATGAATTCAAACCATGATTGTGACAAATGGTGATCCAACTAAGTACTAGTTACTTAATACAAAATTTAGATCTTAATTGGCTTTAAATAAAATATTAATTAACCTTTCATAGTTAATACAAAATTTTTTGAAGTTTTATATTGAGTGAAAAAATGTGCAGATACTTTTGTTCACCCTCTGTAGATATTTTTTTTATTTATGTTTTAATTATGCAAAATATAAGTAACTTTTGCTGAATTTATATTTATATTAGAAATTCATAATAAACAAGTATAATATCTCTTAATTTATAGCTATAATAATAAGATAGAATAATATTAGACTGATTAAAACATAAAAAATATAAAACTTGTTAATTTAAAAAAAGATTCTCTTTATTTAACTGACAATTATGTAAATATTTAATAAATATATCTTGAAAGTCTAAAATTAATGAAATAATATTATCTAGTAAATTAATAAGATATCTGATTTTTATATCTTTAAAATATTCAAATTTCTATATAATTATAAAACAAATTCAAAATCAACCTTAAGATATTAGTTTTAATATTAAATTGAGTTTATAATTTTATAAGGTTTTGATTTTTCAAATACCTTATAAAAGAATAAGTCAAAAAATTAATAATTTAAAAGAAATACAATTTACAATTATATAAAAATACATATAAAAGTTTAATTATTAAAATAATATGTAAATTTACTTTAGTATTCTAAAAAAGTTTCTAAATTTGATATGATTGGTAATAACATATAATATATATTATAAAGTTGTTTAGAGTAATTCATAAGTATTACTAATACTTATATTTCTATATAAGTTCTACTACAAATTAGATTTTCATTAAACAGCTCAAAAACAATGTTCTTTATATTTAAAGTGTTGACCTTTTATCTGTAATAATATTTTGTATTTAAACTATTTTTATTAATATTAACATAAATATTATAATAAATTACTATTAATATTTTTAAGTAATACTTTTTATTAGACTAGTATTAATTATTCTATTTCATAATCTTTTATAGATTTTCTTCATATGTTTAATAATTATTATGTAAAAAATTTTTATAATTTATTTTGACAATAAATATAAAAATCAAACACATTAGAGCAAATTATTTGAGAAATATAAATAATTAATTAGATGCGTAATGCAATTCTTTTACTAATATATTTATTAAAAAATATAATATTAAATATTTAACAAAATAGCTAGAATATCTTGAAAAATATACAGCACTTTTTTTTTAATTTTCTTTACAGATGTAGAATCTTGATAAGTTAAAGTTATTTTATTCAATATATATTCAAAATCCAAATTATATGGATTTTAAATACTTAAAGTTTAAGTTGATGTAAAGATATTACCAAGTGCTTAAAATACAACATGTCTTTCATAAAAAGATAAATATTGTAATTTAAAGGAATGCATAGATTCTTGTAAGATTAGAGGTATTCTAATTTGTGATTATACTTATTATTTTAAATGTTTTTTATTTAAATTAGAAAGCCAATCTGATATTATATTAATTATTTTATAAGTGGAATTGAAACAAATTGTAAGGTTTTTTTAGAAAACTCTAAATCATCAAATGTAAAAGTAAAGGATGAGAGTATAAATGAAATGAATATTGCTGAAACTGATGATACTAATATTAATAATGAGGATTTTTTTAAATATAAATTTAGATAATGATAATATAGATTTACTTTTTGAAAGGGTTATGAATGCTTTAACAAGAGTGTAATTTAAATGGATTGAAAAATAAATTTAATATTTTTATAAATGAATAATAAATAAAATTCAATTAATCAATTTATTTGAAATTTTTTTTATTATTAGTATTAGATCAAATCATAATTTAACCATAACTATTTTGATGAATTATTAAAAATCATGTGATTTTATCAATCAATAGAATTTCAGATTGATCTGTAAAAATTAGCCAATCATAATAAAAGCGCGCTATACTATTATCTAATAAAATATAAAATATTCTATTCTAATTATAAACATATTACAGATAAACTTCTCAAAAGTATTGTCAAGAAAGCGTGCGAAAGACTCTTACACCTTCCTAAAGAACCTATCTTGTTAAAATCTATTTTTTAGAAGCCTGAACGAATTGAATCTTATTTAAGACACACATTGGAGGTTTATGAGAATTCATTAAATAGAAAATGCAAAAGGATGTCTAAGAAAAAAAAATACTACAACCTCATAACTGGTTAGAATATAATGTATTCCCAGCTATATATGTTACAGATAATGAAATCTAAACTGATAATATTACTTGTGATAATGAGGAAGAAAACAATCGCTAGGTTATGAACGAACTTAAAGTATTATCTCAGATTATAATAAAAGAACTTTCAAATGTTTATGCGAGATATAGAAGAAATATAAAGAGCAGGTTAATGCAAATAAGAGGTCGCGATGTAAAGTTAAGGATTTGAAGTTGCAGATATAGGAGGTAAAAAAAAGTTATCATCTATAAAATTAGATTCTATTTATTAGTTTGGGCATTTTTTTTTCTTACGCTTTTACCTAGCTTCTATCTCCTTCTATAAGTTTAATGGAGTATAAACCTTAGTCGAATTGCAAGAGGATTATCCTCATTTATCTAAGTCAAATTTTAAAACTTTAGTAAATTATATTAAAATATATAAATTTTTTAAATAATAATAATATTTATAATATGTTCAAAACAGTGTTGTTATTTGGAAAATAAAATTGCCGATCGGTCAAAAACACTGTTCATTTACTAAAGAAATTATATAATACTAATACCATATTAGAACCTCAAAAAAAAAAAAAGGATTAGGGCATGTTTACTTATTTCCTTTAAAACATCGTTCTCTTGCTCTGAAAGTAAAAACAAAAAGCGTTGCATTACAATATTTTTTCTTAATAAAGGTTATCACCAAAAAAAATGATAGATACTAACTACTCTTTCTATTCTTCCAGAACCTAAAATTACGTGGAAACATAAAAAAGTAACATTGTAGAGTTTTTGGAAAATGGCAATGCAATAGCTAAAAAAAAATGGACTAGTGCATATACATGGATCTCTCTTAAAAGTATTGAAACCAGCGAGTTCAAGAATAGAAAGGATCGAATGTATCAAAAGTGCGAACCTTGTCATAGAGAAACCCAAATAAACACGATGCAAAACTTTTAAGTTATACGCCGTTAGAAAGAAAAAGAGACCAAAAACGCACGCAAGACATCAAAGGAACCTTTGTGCAAAGTGTATTACTGGATCAATATGTGATAGTAAGAATATTTTATGTTAATTTGTTTCTTTATTCGCGGATTATTCATTTAAATTTTTATTTTTTTTTAGGAGCAAATTGAGAGATGACACGTTTTCCTTTCCGTAATGAGATTATTTTTAATATATATATTATTCATAAAAGTGTTGGGTTTGAATGGTGTTCTTTATTGATTCATTGGGAAAATTTAAGTGACCATTGATGATGTATTGGCAAATAATGATTTTCTTGCGCAGTAATCATCTATCGATACCTGGCGCGTGTTTATTTGTCACATTTTAACCTGCGCCATCTCATTATCTACAATCTCAATTAACCACTAACATCAAGCCACTTTTTTTGTTACACTCTTTTTACCAACTCTTTCTTGGATTTTAGTAACCTTGAAAAAGCTTTAAAAGGCGCACACACGTCTCCGTTGTTGTTCTTTCCCTAGGGTTTCATAATAGAATAGTATTTTATTTTATTTTTTTATTTTTTTTCAGATTTACCTTTTTTATTTTCAAATACAACTTCTATATATACATATATACATAATGGGTCTTTCAATCTCCAAACTACTTTCCGGTTTATTTGGAAAGAAGGAGATGCGCATTCTGATGGTTGGTTTGGATGCTGCTGGTAAAACCACCATCTTGTACAAACTTAAACTCGGCGAAATTGTTACAACCATTCCTACTATTGGTGAGTTAATCTTTTTCTGCATTGAGTTTGACAGACGGGCTTTTTTTTGGAGGGGGAAAACAATTTATATAAACTTTTTTTTGTTGTAGGTTTTAACGTTGAAACCGTAGAATATAAAAACATTTCTTTTACGGTTTGGGACGTAGGTGGTCAAGATAAGATCAGACCATTATGGCGCCATTGTAAGTCCAATATATTAGAGAATAATTGATGATAATTAATAATAACAATAATTTATGGAAATTTTATTAATTCTTTGAATAATTATGATTTAAGATTTCCAAAATACTCAGGGTATCATTTTTGTGGTTGATTCAAATGATCGTGAACGTATTTCAGAAGCTAGGGAGGAACTTCAGCGTATGTTAAATGAAGACGAATTGCGTGATGCTCTTCTTTTGGTGTTTGCCAACAAACAAGATTTGCCAAATGCCATGAATGCTGCGGAAATTACCGATAAACTCGGACTTCATTCTCTTCGACAGCGTCATTGGTACATTCAAGCCACGTGCGCTACGAGTGGGGATGGACTTTATGAAGGTTTAGAATGGTTGAGCACCAATTTGAAACGAAAAGTTTAAAATATTTTTTATAAATTTATATTAATCACCGATCAAAAATACTCAAATTTGTTATTATATTCTTAATTCTCATTTTTTTCATTAGTTAACAATTTTTTAAATAGTTTTATTTGGCTTATAAATAGTATCATTCAATAATTTTCAAATTAGTGTGTAGTTTGAAATACCATTCTTAAAGGTGGTATGCGATGTAGCTCAAGTTGCATCTCAAATTTTCAAAACTTTTTTTCCTTTAAAATTAATGTTATCAATTACTGCTAAATTAAAAATAGTTATCCCTTTCAATAAATGTTTAGATGGCTTTGCATTTTTCATTTGCATTTTTCTAATCTCTGTTGTATGTTCAGTAATTCAAAAAAAGGTTCATGCAATGAAGATAATTCATATGTATTTTGAGATTACTAATTTATCGAAACATTACAAGTTAAATCTCTTTTAGAAAAAAAAAAAAATAAATTTCGATTTGTATAATGTTAAAAACGAAGGTCGTTTTTTGGAATTGAATCCAGGAACATTAAAGGGATATTAATGATTAGGAAACACAGAGAAATTTTTCAAGTTGGAGGAAACCCTAAAATTTATCATGTCAAGTTTAACTTCCCTAAGTGTATATAAATAAAAGCCTTTGAAAATAAATTTTATTAGTCTTGTCATCAACTGAGCGTTTTTATCAATAAATGAAAAGATTAATAAAAAAAGAATAAATGATCTTTGATCTAGAAATGGAAACATTTACAGCATATCTTTATGTAGCAATTATTCTTCGAATGAAGTTTATTCAATTAAAGATAAAATATTTTATCATCCTACATCTTATCAGAAAGCATCAGCACGGGATATGTTGATCCATTGCCTATATATGCGACAAAGCATTTATTTACGATGAATGATTTACTTAGCATTTACTTTCAGGAGATTAGCTAGTGATAGATGGAAAAATGAATAAGGTTTTCAATGTTTTACATAAATTGAAATAATATACAAGTAATTCGTTCGAGTAATAATCTATGCTAAGTAATGGAGATACTTTTTCTATTACAATCTATGGTAATAAAGCAAAGTTTCATCCCTATCTGTTAAAGTGACGAACTAATTTTAACCATCTTCTCAACACACTCTCAAAATACTTTGTGCACTCTGATGGTCGGGTTTTCTAGAATGCCCAAAAGTATGAATCAGATAAGGAAATGAACCCATTTTATCCAACAATGCAGATGCCAAATAAGGTGCGATGTGGTTATAATTGAAGGGTAGATATTCTTTAACATATCGAATTTTGGTTTATTTCTGTTATTTTAAAATTCAATCGTGAAAAAAATTATTCTACAAGAGAATATAATTGGAAAAAAAGAATATTACAAAAACGATCATCTTTTGTCATTATAGGATTTGTTTAAAGAAAAAGAACTAGAAATTGTAATTGCTCTTGTTTCTGCAAAATTTTTTTAAAAAAAAGTAGTTGAGTACGATGAAAAAATATAATCAAATTTATATTATATTAATATTATTTAATAATCTATTTACCAATAAACGAGAATCCTTCGAATAATTTCGTATATTGAAGTAAACTTAACGAATGACTTTCGCTCAGGGAACCATAAGAAAAAATGTAAAAGATAAAAATTGTTAAAAATCAAAATATTATCATGACTTTTTAATAAAATTCTCCTATTTAATAGCTGATCAAATAAGATCAAGTAAAAAACGGTCATCTTTCGAAACCTTCATTAATTTATGTAGTTCATTTTATGAAGGGAAATTCCGTTCCTCTTTCTTCTCATTTCAACTTTTAGATCAAAGTTTTCAATATATCTACCATATATAAACTTGCTTATCTCCCAACCGATCATTGTATTAAAGGTATAATACTCACATTTAAAAATCCTCTTGCAATTTCTTCATTAGCTTCCAATTGGAAACTCAAACTTGCCTATATACTTGTTGGTTAATAGCAAATTTATAAATGGCAAAAAAAAGAAAAAAAATAAAAGTGATTAAAATTGATGAATTGACGATCATATTTATTTTGTTGAGGAATGATTTTCATAAAATGTTGACGCGTTCTTAGTAGAATTCGATAATAATAATATGAACAAAATAAACGAAAATTCATTTCCTGTTGAAGGTTTAGCAGCTTCTGACATGTATTTAAAAAGACCCTTTTTTTATTTAATTTGATTTAAAGAATACCTTTATTTATCAAGATTTCTCATTTTTTAGTTCCTTTGAACAATTATTATCAAAAACTGCTGAAGAAAAAGCAAATGTCGAAATAAACCGCGTCAAAATCTCTTATAATGATATGCCAGAATATCGCGATAAGTTAAACATTAAAAAAAATTCATCTCGTAAACAATATGCAAGTATTTATTTCATTAGATATGAAGAATTAAGTCCTATTGTTTTAAACGCTGCTAAAGTTAAATGGAATACCGGAGGTATAAGTTATAAACAAGTTTGGGTTTAAAGGTTGTTTAAATATACATTAATAAATTTTTTCTTTATTTTATTTATAGCTTCACATGTTGATAAAATATTGGAGGTTAAACCTGATACTCTTTGTTATATCGTTGGAACCGTTTATATGGAGATGCAATATAAACCTAATATTCTTGCTGAAGTTTCCAGAGACGTAAGTTAATGAAGTTTTGTTTTTGGTTCATATCTATCTTTTTATACATTTTATTCTCCTTAGGATTGGGAACCTATTCCACCTCCAAGGGAAAAATATTATAGTGATACGGATGAAATCTGGCTAGAAGATGATTCAGGTAGAATAAAACTTGTGGGTGATAGCTTAAAAAAAGAAGTGATAATTTCAGGAATAATCATGGCGGCTCTAGGGAAAGAAAATTCCCAAGGAGATTTCGAGATATTAGATATTTGTTTTGCTGGACTTCCTGAACAAATTAATCCAACAGTACGGATGGATGCTGGTTTGTCTTATTTAAGTTTTATATATATAGATATTTATATATATATTTAAGGAGACTGAATTAAGTTCTTTAACTAGATGATGATGACAAGTATGTGGCTTTGATCAGCGGTATGAATTTGGATACAGATGGTGCTTTGGAAACAAGATTACAGCTAATGTTGGAATATCTTACTGGTGGACTTGGAAGTTTTCCGGTTAGTTTCAGAATAAGTTCACAAATAAAAAGAAAATTGTTCAAGACTTTTTTAAAAATCTTTTATAGGAACAACAAAATTTTTCTTCGAAAATATCACGAATAATAATTGCCGGTAATAGTCTTGCTGAGGTTAAAGTGGTTCCTGATGATAAAAAGCAGGTAAATCAATAATCATAATCATCATCTATCATCGAAAAATGAAATAATTAGTTCGATTTCTTTAATAGAAAAAATATGGATATGATAATTCATCATATGATGCAGAACCACGTATTCAATTAGATAATTTTCTTGAAAAATTATGTTCATTACTACCTACTCATATGATGCCTGGAAATCATGATCCAGCTGATTTTACCTTACCTCAACAACCAATTCATCCTAATCTACTTCCTAAAGTCGGAAGAAATCCCAATTTTCATGGCGTTACGAATCCTTATTGGTGTGAGTTGGATGATGTCGTGTAAGCGTGATATAGATTTAATTTGATTTTTTTTTAAAAAAAATAAAAATAAAAAAGGACATCCTTTACTAATAGAATGCTTTTTTAATAGATTTCTTGGTACTTCTGGCCAAACTATTGATGATATGTATAAATATATAGAAAGTGAGGATAGAATTGCTATTGCAGAGCGTACACTATATTGGAGGCATATTGCCCCCTCAGCTCCTGACACTCTTTGTAGGTCCTTTTTTTTTTAATTTACTAAAGAAATTCCTTTCCTTAATAAACAACTAATTAAATAATATATTTAGGGTGTTATCCTTTTGAACGATATGATCCTTTTATTATTAATCAAATGCCTCATGTATATTTTATTGGTAATCAAAAGGAATTTGCTACAAGTTTAATAGAAGGTAATATAAATATAATTTATACATACATTCATATACTTTTAATTTTTTAATTTTTAACTGAATTCTTTTTTATATAATTAAATATAGGACCTAATCAACAACGTACGCGAATTATTTTATTACCATCATTTTCAGAAAGCGGAGTTGTAGTACTTTTAAATTTAAAGAATTTGAAATGTCATACTACATGCTTCAAGTAAATAGTGTTTTAAATAGTCCTTCAAAAATAATAAGGTAAAATGAAAGAAAATCTTTTCACTAAAAATAATATTGTTTTATCAAAAAAGACCGAAGTTTCTACCCGGTTGATCATGAATCGGGTGAGATAAGGAATAAAGGATTATGGAAAAGTTTGTGAAGTAAATTTATCGAAAATATGAAATTTTTTTTAATCACAAAAACTAATTATAAAGAATTATTAAGGAAATTGCTAACATAATAGAAATTTCTGGAATCAATAAGATATTAATTATAAATATGATTCTGAATATATATCTGATTTTATAAAAATACTTAATATTTATTTTATAATTTCATTATTTAAAAATTTGGAAATTTGGATTAATCTATAAAATATAATTTTAAAATGCTAAAAGAAGAATAGTATATAAAATAATTTTAAAGAGTAAAAGAATTAATATATTTTACTTATAATAAATAATATAACTTTTAATTTATTAATTATTTAAACTTATTATTTTTATTATAATAGTAATAAAAATAATATTTATTTTAAAGAATTTAATACAAGTTTTTAAAAATTATTAGATAAATGTATATAATTTTATTTCTATTTTTATTAATTCTATTTATATTTCAACTTTTATATTTGTTTTTAATAATATATATATAATATAATTTATGAAAAATTATAAAATTTTAAATATCTAAGAAAATAAGAAGTTATTTAATTTAAATTTAATAAAGATATTTTAATTATATAAATTTTTAGATAATTAAAAAGTCAGTTTATTTTTAGCTTTAAAAATATTATAAATTAATAATAATATCAATAATAATAATAAATAATAATAGAATATATTTATTTAATATTAGAGAATACCAGTGTTCTCCTTTAATATATATACTAACATCTAATCCTAACTAATTCTAACTTATCTTAACTAACTCTAATCCTAACTCTAACTGTGACAAATAAATATGCGTAACAAATAAGATTTTGTCACTTAAAAAAAACTAAGTTTCCTAAATAAATAGTAAAAATTAAAACTTGAGAAGTGTAATACAATGTGACAAATATTTTAATATTAAACAATTCACATGATAAAAAGGAATAATTATTGATATTCTCTAATATAATATACATTTTTTTATAATAATATTATTATAATTAGGAATAACATTATTTATGACTTGTTATTATAGCGATACTTTACAATTATAAAAAATTATGTAAATTTTTATACCTTTTTTTAGTTATATTACTTAATTTTATATAGATAAATTATTGGATTCTAGGATTATCACTTTTAATGGTATTTAACAATTATAGTTGAATTATAATTCAGATTGAAAAAACTAGCCTGAATTAATTAAGATGTAATTTAGCTAAAATAGAGAATATAAAGTGATAAAATCTGTTCAATTATTATTATACATCTGGATTAATAGATTCATAATTCTCTTTACAAATTTTGAAGAACTTTTACCATTATATATTTGTTTATAAAGTATCTCTAAAAATCTATAAAAATTATAAATAAGAAGAATTTTATTAGAAAGTTTGTTACTTAACTTAGAGGTTTCCTAATAAACAGAAAGAATAACTATAGCTTTTGTATTATGTAATTTGTATAATGTTTATTGTAATTTATTTGTATATATAATTTCTTAAATAAACATCTTATTAGCTTTAATAATAATAACAATAGTGATAGTAAATCACATGTAATTAAAAGTATATTAATGCATATATTTTGAATAAAAGCTTAACTTTTAAATACTTTATTCTCTTTATTAATATTATTCATTTTTCCTTATGATTTTTGCTATTATGTTCTTTTTGTTTACACAATTTATATGTATATTAAATTTTAGTATTAGATACAGTGGCTACCAAAAGAAACGCAAGTGTGATTGGTTACCTTTGAACGGCTATAACTCATCAACCACAAATGCT